CCAGAGGTCTGACTCAGTGTGACAGAGATATTCACTGACAACCAGCAATACAAGGTACAAGTCCTGACTGGGTCGCATAAGAACCCCCAATTGCAGAAAAAAGCCAAGTTTCCATGTTGGAATAACAAGAAAGCAGGGCCTATAAAGGACCTTTAGTCTTTTACTGACTATAAAGGACTCTTAGGGTACATCTAGACTACTTTTTTTTTTTCGAAAGGAGATATGCACATTTCGAAAGGAGATATGCAAATTTGGCACTCATTTGCATATCTTCTTCCCATCGCTTTTTCGAAAGCAGGTTTTTCTAAAGTGAAAGTAGTCTGGACGCAGTTTTTTGGTACAAAACTTTTTTGAAAAACGGCGTAAATCTCCTTTTTTTTTTTTAGGAAAAGTGATTTTTTCAAAAAAGGGTTTTTGACGAAAAAAATGCATCCAGACTACTTTCACTTTAGAAAAACCTGCTTTCGAAAAAGCGATGGGAAGAAGATATGCAAATTAGTGCCAAATTTGCATATCTCCTTTAGAAAAAAAAGTCTAGACGTACCCTTAATCTCCCAGACTAGAACCCCTGCTATGATCCCAGGGAAACCAGATAGACTAGGCAATGACAGCCCATAAATCCTCTCCTTCTGCACCATCAGGCAGAAAATGTTTCTCCTGCAGACAAACTGGCCACTTCTGTAGGGACTGTCCCTATTAGGGATGTTAAATATCGGTTAATTGAATAGTCGAGTAACCTCGTGAATTCTTATCAGTTAGCTGACTATTCTATAGTCCTCGGGGGCGGAGCTGGCAACCAGTGCGCTTTGGCCCCACTCCCGAAGAGTCCCCTGCTACTCCGCGTGCGGTACCAGGTGGGAGCTGGTCTGTGAGGACAGCCAGTTTAAAAAACAGTTCCCCTTGCGGACCGGCTGCCTGTCACCCTTAGGGTTGCCAGATGGGTTGTCCTCACAAAAATACCGGACAAGCTAGACATTACATCAAAATCGACATTACAACTTATTTAGAAGATACCAGACATTTATATTTTCTCAATTTGTTTCCCAAACAGAAAGCAGACACCTGGCAACCCTAGTCACCCAGTTACAGAGGCAGCAATGCAGAATGGCAGCAGCCGCTGTCCAGGGCAGGGGGACGGAGGGGGAGAGGGAATGCATGTAGTCTGTAACATTAACCTTTAAGCTTTTGTATATCAGATAACGATTAATCAACTACACTATTACATCCCTAGTTCCTATATGGAATGTGATTACAGGCATTCCTATGCCCTGTAAGAGGAGCTCCACCAAGTGAGTTGTTCCAGCATGGGTAGAGGATTAGAAAGTAGCAGGGCTGGTGGACTCAGGGGCTGCGTCTAGATTGGCAAGTTTTTCCACAAAAGCAATTGCTTTTGCGCAAAAACTTGCCAGCTGTCTACACTGGCTGCTTGATTTTGCGCAAAAGCGCTGACGTTCTACTGTCTGAAATCCGTGCTTCTTGTGCAAATGCTTTGACGTTCCCATTTTCCGGAAATGTATTTGCGCAAGAGGGCCAGTGTAGACAGCTAAAAACTGTTTTGCGCAGAAAAGCCCCGATGGCGAAAATGGCAATTGGGGCTTTCTTGCGCAAAACCGCGTCTAGATTGGCACGGACGCTTTTCCGCAAAAAGTGCTTTTGTGGAAAAGCGTCCGTGCCAACCTAGACGCTCTTTTCCGCAAATGCTTTTAATGGAAAAACTTTTCCGTTAAAAGCATTTGTGGAAAATCATGCCAGTCTAGATGTAGCCAGGGTGCAATCAGATCTGCCAGCACCTCATGGAGCCCAAGAGGAATTATATTCTTCTGAGGCTGTAAGGCCCTGTTCCACACAGCTGGTATGAATGGAGCTCTAGGGGAATAGTCAGTGAATCTGTGGGTGGATGTGATAGAAATGTAGCCGTGTTAGTCTGAGGTAGCTGAAGCAAAATGTAGGACAATGTAGCATCCCTGTAGGGCAGGGGTGGGCAAAATCAGGGCGGAGGGCCCAATCTGGCTCACCCACATGATTAGCAAACTGTGCAAACTTACCTCCAGCAGCTGCAGTGTGTGTTCAGCTGGCCCTGCCCCAATCTTGCTCCTTCTTGAAGCCAAACTGCTTTCAGGATTCTCCTGCTAGCTATGCAGAGCAGGGAGGGAAGGGGAAGAGATTGCTGAAGTCAGGGTATCCCCTGGCCCTGTACCCCTTCTCTGCAGAGATGGGCAGTGAGGGAGACACAGGGCAGAGTAACTCCAACCTGTAGTGGGGATGGTAAGTGTCTCAGGGGGGGGGGGGGGGGGGAGGAGGAGGACAACAGAACAGCACAGATTTCCTTTAAAGAGACAGCACATGGTTTCTCTCAGAAACTTACCCAGCAGCAGCCAGCACACACACCATGTCACTGTCACACACACTTAGTCTGTGCTACACACACACACACTCTCTATCTGTGTCACAAAGTCTGTCTCACACACAGTGTCTCTCTTTCACACTCCCTTTGTCTCTGTCTGTATTCCCCAGCCCCACCCCTTCTGCTCAAGGCCTTGCTCAGTCTGGGAGGCCAGGAGCCAGCCCATGACCATGTACCAAAATTCATGAAGTAGCCCCCCTGCAAAAATTACTGCCCACCCCGGAATAGGGCCTACTTAGTTATAGTAGGCAGGCGCTGCAATACAAGCACACCCACAACTGCCAGACTAGAGTCACTCCATGGGAAAGGGTGAGTGAACTAGAAAACCCTGGAGAGGGACCATCATGGCCCAACCCTCATTTCATCCAAGCACTAGCCCAAAGCTGAGACCAGGCAGATATTCTAGCCCGAGACATCAATTCTGTGCAAGAACAAGCAGATCCCACTCTCTCCCACATATATGACAAAGTTAGCTGTGGTAAACAGGGAAGTCAGAGACACCTCCCCAACCCAAGAGAGATAATGGCCTTATTTCAAACTGTGGGGAAAATGGTTTTGTTATTGAGCAAGAGAGACTGAAGAAACTAGGACTCAATGGCTAGAGCCCAAAATGTACAAGCAGAAGGCCAAACCAGCAGCACCCCAGCTGCTCTGCCCCAGGCGTCCCCAAGAGCAACTGGGGTGCTGCCGGGTTGATCTCACAGCGCCATGGGGAAAATCTAAACACTTTAAGTTGTGGGGAACAAATTATGGGGAGTCACTTCCATTTGGGGGAATCATTTTAATGTTATCCCTACACAGATATGCCGGACTATCGGACGGGGGGGCTATGAGGGGTCTGGGGTGGCATCCCCCCACACCACCCTAGACCCCTCATAGCCCCCACTTCCGATAGTCCGGCATATCTGATAATCCGGCACCCCCTGGGTCCTAAAGGTGCCGGATTATCGGAATTTTACTGTACTATCTACTGAGAACCCCTGTGCTCACCTGCCCCTCTGATAGATACACACAATGCATGACACCAATGCTAGGATCATAGGTTACCAAACATTCAGCCAGACTGATTCCAAGTGCTTCATTGGGCTGGCGGGACCTATGTTACCACTGATTTCTTTTTGCAGAGTAAGAGCACTGTCATGACTAAAGAACACACATTCATCAACAGGAACAACTCCTCTGTGTCACAAATGTGGAGGGTGTAGATGCCACACAGATGAGGAAGGGGCAGAGAGATTCCAATGGCCAGGCTAGCCCTATCAGTCAATCATGCATGATAGGGAGGAAGCCTGTAACAGGAAGGAAGCTGCAGTCAACAGAGAGGAAGGAGAGGAATTGCCTTAAGTAGCAGACTGCAGGAGAAACTCTTGAAGTGGTGGGTGGAACTCCTAGGCTGTGTCTACATTGGCAAGATTTTGCGCATGCTCAAAACTTGCTGCCTGTCTACACTGGCCACGAGTTCTTGCGCAAGAACACTGACTCCCGCTCAGGAATAAGCCCTCTTGCGCAAGTGTTCTTGTGCAAGATGCCAGTGTAGACAGGCAACATGAATTTATTGTGCAAGAAAGCCCGATGGTTAAAATGGCCATCGTTGCTTTCTTGCGCAAGGAGCATCTACACTGGCATGGATGCTTTTGCGCAAAAGCACATCTCTTGCGCAAAAGCACATGCCAGTGTAGATGCTCTCTTGCGCAAATAATCTAACACAAAAACTCTGGCGTTAAAGAGTATTTGCGCAAAATCTTGCCAATGTAGATGTAGCCCTAGGCTGGAAGCATTCACCCCAACCTGGCGGAGAATACAGATTCTCAGGGTACGACAGACAGTTGGCACTGGTCTCAGGGACCCAACCAGTGTGATTTCTCCAACCCCAGGCCTGGGGTTGGTCCTCTGCTTTGCTGGGATCTCAGGAAGAGAGTATCCCTGAATGCATGGGGGTTTGTGGATTTCATACTGATCTCCCAGCCAGAGAGCCTTAAGGGCAGACACCACTGATCAACCTCACAGAGTAGGAAATGGGACCAGGGTAGTGACCATCTAGTATAGCTAACTGGGGATACTTAGGTTTCCCCATCCCCAAAGGAGGAACCAACAAGAACTCTGTTGCAGTTCAATTTAAGCAAAGTTCTTTTAAAAATGGAAGAAAACTCCCTCAAATTCTTTGTTGTAAATTTTTCATTGTTCATTGACTGCTTGTTGGCCAATATAAAAAACTCTTTGCATGCCCATGATTTTTTATTATAATTATTATTTACTGCTCAAATAGATAATTTTTATACAAAAAGGATGAAACCTACCAGATTTAAATGTTTAATTCGAATATGTAGAAATGCAGAAAGGATTATACTCCCACGTCTTCCACTTCTCTGGTTCTGACATCCTTCCCACGTGCCTAGATAATTATTACAGGTACAAATTAATTGCTCTGTCTTTAAAAAATGGCAAAGACAACTAGAACCTGTCCTCCAGGAACTGGAATGAGCCCAATTTATTTAATGTAAGCTGAACAGATCTCTAAGAATTTGCAGCCAATTCCAATAGAGGCTAAATTTGAAACCATGACTGAAGTGACAGTCTCTAGCTTGTCTAACTGATTCCCCTAATCCACCCATTGTTCTACAAACTCATTTATCTTGAGTTGAAGATTAAATTAATTGTATAACATTAAAAAACCCTTTACATTGGAGTAATTTCTATTTTTCAAATTACAAAGCAGGTTTGCTGGTAAAAACTTGTTTAGATACTTTCTAAATTAATTACATGTTTGCAATACTCTTACATATGAAAATGTTTTCTTGTGTATCATTCATATAGAAATTGTTGGGGTAATTCATAATAAAGAATAAGACTTAGAAGGTTTATACTTTAGTCTTTCAAAACCTTTGGCATGGGTTATGTAGCCACTAGTTTAAGTCATATGAGCAGTAATGTCTACAAAGACTTCATTTGTTCATGCTGAATATCTTCTTACAGGGGAAAGGAATTAAAAACCTCCAGCTAGCCAGCATATTAATGTTTATTGTCTCCAATGAGTGGTTTAGTCACGACGACTTAAGGAAAGGCTTTTTTTAAAAAACAAACATACGTTACAAACTACACAATGTTCACGAATATATCAGAGGCATGACAATGCCTCTCTATTTCCTCTTTTTCTGCCTTCTGTATCAAGGTTGGGTTCAGTTATTTACTTAAAAAAATCAATCCAGTCTTTCTGTTTTGTATGATGAGACAATGTATCTTCTCCATGCACCCTTAATATTAGAACATATAAAGATTTTAGTGAATGTCATGTCTTAGTTTAGATTAGTAAAATATTTTTTAAATATATTTAAGAATTTCCAGTATCTCACTTTTTTTTTGCCAATTATGACTGCTTTATTATCCTTATTTTCCATATAGTTCAAACTTTGCCAGCTGCCTTCAAATTTACATTTTCCAAAATTAAATTGTAATTAGCAAAGTTATCTTACACATTATATTTACATTTTAAATCTTAATTATACCATTTTCACATTTAACCAACCTTAGTTCCATGTAACTACATTTTTTGTGTATGGAATTTAGTTAACTATAATATCTTTCTTGTATAGTTGCATTTGAAACTGTGTTTTAAAGAACAGCAGTTTCAACTCTCTTAGAACATATACATTATGTATGGAATGTTTTATTTTTTGTTGAAGAATTTCCTGATGTATAAAGTAGAAACCCGTTGTCAGATAAATAAGGATTTGGACAAAAATATTTTTTCCAATGCAAATGAATATTAGGGACCTTGCCAAATTTGCTATATCTGGGGTTTTCAGATAAGAAGGGTCAGCTAAATTAGAACCTGCTATGTAGGTCACTGTATAAGTACAGGAAATAAAAGTTACAATTCCACATTTTGGCTACGAAATCCTGCTGGCCTCTTGCTTTTGCTAATTTGGCCTTGTGTCATCATTCTCAGTATGTATTACAGATATCTAAGGCCTTGTTTCCACTTACCAGGAGATCAATACTGTGGAGATTGATTTCCTGGGGGGGGGGGGGGGGGTGATTTAGCGGGTCTAGTAAAGACCTGCTAAATGGACCGCTGATCACATCCCTGTTGACTCTGGTACTCCACTGAATTGTGAGAGATAAGGGAAGTCAACAGTAGAGTTTATCCTGTTGACCTCCCTCAGTGGGGATGTCATAAGATTTCAAACTAAGGTATTGTCGACTTCAGCTATGCTATTCAAGTACTGGAGTTGCGTATCTTAGTTTGACTTTATCCCTTAGTGTAGACCTGGCCTCTGAGGAAGTGGATAAACTGGATTCAAGAAAAACATACATCCAGTTACGTCAAGGGAGGTAGCTGGAAATCAGATACATAAAGAGACTTTCCTGAACTCTGAGCTCATCAAATCTGTTTGTGTGCGTCTTTTTGAGCTGTAGTCTTCAAATTTGGTATATTTATTTACCAAGGACTATTGCAATAGAAAAAATAAATTTGACATTTCCTTCTTAGATCACTGGAAGGTCAGTCTAAAAATATCCAAAAATGTTTATTTCTTCCATGAGATGATTGAGTAGGAGGCTTTCAGTTCAGAAAAGCTAAGGTGATCTGAGGACAGCAGTTTTGCTTAACAGATTACAGCTCAGATAGTTATTGTAAGTGAGCAAGCCACAAATGCCAATGTTGAGAGTCACACCTACCCATAGGATGGACTGTTGTTGAGCAGGATATACACACACCCTTTTGTAAATGCACAGGAATGCAAGTTTGATTTGATCAGTCAGTGGAAATCCTGGATTATCTGCAAACATTTTTATTATTTACAACTACTTAGTAACATGATTTTCTTGTTGTGCAGAAGGAAGACACACAAATAAGGGATTTATTGCATTCATTATTTCACACCTTTGGCTACACTGATGTACACTGAAAAATTCTTTATAATTAATTTGATCAACAGGCAGCAACACCAATCAAAATGTCCAAGCACTTATGTATCCATTCTCATCTCTGTCAGGAGCACAGCATGACCCTAATAGGAGAGATGAAAGGAAGGAGACAAAGGGAACAAACAGAATTAGCTCCTTCTAACTATAAGAGAACTTCTCTCTTAAGATCAAGTAATTGGGGAGAAGGGCGACAGTCTCTTGAACGATTGGAAAAGCTTCACTAACAATAAGAGATGCCTTCTAAAGGAGGTATCTTTGAAAGAAAATTTGTTTATTCAAAATGAGCGAGTCTCTGACTAGTCTGGGCCAAGCACACAAAGTGAGAAACAGTTTCTATTTCTGTACCTTGGTCTGTGCCATTTTGAATTGTGTAAAGACCAGTTTAATAATTCCAAGAGATAGATTTGGGGGAAGCGGTGCCAATTAGCACCACCTCCCTCCAAGGCCTTTAAGGTATGTACAGCCAAGGGCTGCACCAACAGACGTAAAGACAATACAATCTTTTTACAAAGGTGAGAGAGATCTTCTGTGTTTTCTGGGCACATTTGCTTTTCCAGTCTAGAATGCTATTAAAGCATTACTAAAAGCCAACTGAATAGGAACTAACACATGGTCCAAGTCCAACTCCCATATAATATGTGGTGGCACAGCAAATTTAGTCCAACCACAAAGGAGAATTTTTAGAGTCCCTAAAGCCCTTTGAAAAGAACAAACGGTCCTTAGAAGGCTGTAAGCTTTCTACTTTGTGCAAAGTGATATTTTAAAGCCTCTCTCAAGCCTTTTTCTTTCAGAGGCTTCCCCAACACGCTATAAAACTCTGTGGCTCATCTGTGTCACAAAAAATGTTTGTATTCATTTCTAGTGGATCCAAATCCAGGGCCAGTGTTGTGGGATAGTAAGCAGGGAAATTGCGGGAGGACGCACACCACTGAGGGCTCTGCAAAGCTAAGTTGGTTTCAGCCCATGCAGCAGGGTTCAGCTTCAGTGGCAGCCAGCGGGGCTCAGGTTTCAGCTTTCTTCCCCTGGCCCTAGGAACTCTAACACCATCCCTGCTCTCTGGGTGATTTTGGCTGACTCCCTAAAACCTGCTCAAGTGGCCTCTGCTTGAGAACCACAGTCCCTAGTCTATAGTAGAAAAGACTTGCCAGTAAATGCATCTGACACAGATATGAAAATTTCCTGCAATGTCCTTGGAAAACATTATGAATTAAGTCTCAGTACCTTTTGATTTCATTGTACTCAAAAAACAAAGTTTATGTACTACTGTGGAATTGTATATAAACTTCTTGAAGAGGCAGAAATAATGTAAGGTCTGGGAACAGTTACAAGCTTCAAAAGACTATCTGAATGTGCCAAACAAGAATGAACTTGTGGGACAAACGAAGTTTAGCTAGTTTCCTGGAAATCTCTAGGAGAGGAAATCTGCAAATGCTCCCCCTACAGTTATGTAAGCACTCAGCCTTTTGAAGCTTCACCCTAAAGAATGGAGCTTTTGTCTGCTGATTACTTGTTAAACGAGGACAAGATCAAAGGCTCAAACTGTGTAAAGGAAAGAACAAACTGTTCAAAGTGTGTGTGTGTTGTTCTGATCTAATAGCTATTATGACCATATGAACACACACACACACACACACACACACACACACACTCTCTTTCTTTCTTTACCCCCTCCTCCCGTTTGGTGACAGACAGGTCTCCAGCCACGAGAGGTGATGGCTGAGGAGTCAGGAGCCCATGCTGGCCCATAGAGGGGGAGTACAGGTGCAATTGCCCGGAACTGTGACATAGATGGTGTCAGCATATGCAGATCTATAAGAATGTGAATTGCAGAAGTGCTAATAGCGGTGAAAACAAGTACACTAAAAAAGAAAATGGGTTTTGGAAAACTGAAGAAAAGTCAGCTGGCTTAGCTATGCAAAGAAAGGAAAAAGGGAGAACTGTACAAAAGATACAGCTAGTCCACTTGTGATATTCTGATGACAAGAGGAGGAATGATGGTCCAGGGATCATCCAGCTCACTGGCAGAGGGAGACATTTTGAAGTCAATTTCCTGGCGGGAGGTCAGAAAGAAACTGACCGAGGCAGATTATGTTCTGTTCACTGTATGTGGGACCAGGGTAAGTCTACAGAAAGACCAAGAGAGGGGCTGACTGCATCTGGAAATCCAGCATCTTAAAGACCTGGAGCGTGAGAGACTGGAAGCACCAGAGCAAGTGAGAAGAGAAGAACAAGGATTGTCAATATCAGCTTGAGATGGAGAAACTGCACCAGTAGAACCTTAGATCAGGTCTACCCTAGGGGATAAGTTTGAATTAAGATACGCAATTCCAGCTACATTAATTGCATAGCTGGAGTCGACATTTTAATTTGAACTTCGGTACCATCCCCACAGCAGGAGGTTGATGGGGAAAAGGCTCCCATCGACTTCCCATACTCCTCATGAGGAGTAGGAATACAGGCCTCTGC